CTCCCATCAGCTCCCGTGGCGCCCCGACGTCGGTGTGCATCCGGCGGCTTCCCTCTCCTCGGCCCTCAACCACCCCTTCCCTTCGAGCTCTGGCTGACCCTCCATTCGGTCATGCGTCCTCACCTGCCGCCATACTCTCACGCCAGATAGGAGGCCGCTGCCAGCACCCATGTGGTTCAAATTTTGGTTTGCTGTTGCATGTACATGTAGTTCAAATTTAAATTACAGTCATTAAATGGCTAGAAACTCACTTTTTAAAGTTTAACATAATATTTGTTTTCGTGAATGGTAACGGTAAAAAAATGTTTCATACAATTCAAACACTATCCGTTGCTATTGTATCCAATATTAGTCTTTGAAATCAATACAAAAATTCAACTACAACACACACAATTTCTTATAGGAATCTTTTGCGATGAAAATTCATGGGTCTATTTAGGATTACATCAGATGTCTCAATGGCTTCGTCTAGCTCAATTGCCGCTCACCCTCAATCTTCATTCCCCCAACCCATTTTTGCAAAAATTAACGTCATGGAGACATTTCGTGAGAGCGTGTACGGTTGTTGCCTCTGCCTCGAGCGTTTCTGCCTACACCGAGAGCTTGGCCACATCCGCCAACAGGGCAGCTGCAGCAGCCAAGACGACTGCAACATGCAACTTATGTGATGACGGCTGCAATCCGAGAGCACTCGAGCAGCCGTCCAGGGGGTTCTGCAAACTAAAGAAGGAGAAAAGGAAAGAAAAAAGAAGTATACTCCTACTACTTTCGTTAGTGCGGTTCTTGCTGAACGAAGAGGTCATGAGTTCTATTCACGTTGCCCGCACTTTTTCGTATTTAAAAAAGGACCATCATTGCCCTTTGTTATGAATGGATATGAAGAGATCTCCTCCATTAATGTGTTTAGGGGGTTGTAGCTCCGATCTTCTATTCCAAACCAATACTACCATAACGATGACAGCAGCGTCATCCGTGCCTGATCGATCCTGCGCTCCGTGCTTGACCAGCGCTATTTTTTCCCCGGCCATCACTGCACGCAAGCCACGAAATCATCTAGCGATTGCTGTGATGGTGACACTTGGCCACTGATCGATCGAATGACACCTTTTACCTTTGAACAGGTCTCCTTGGTCCGCCTCCCTGTCGCTTCCTCTGCTAGTTGGTCTCCCCACGCCTCGGCGCCTCGATCGATCCCCATATAATACTCAGAACTCGAAAGTCGAAACTCACCACCACCTCCTCCTCACTCTCTCTAGCACACGAGCTGGGTTGCGCAAACATGGGCAACGTCCTGCCGCTGCCACGCGCGTGCAGGGAAACCAGGGTGGTGGACGCCACCGTCGCCGGTGCCAGGAGGGTGAAGAGGATGGAGCGGCCGGCTGCGGCCAAGAACATCGTGGACGGGGCGGATCAACACGGTGTCTTGGAGAAGGAGGTAGAGTGCCGTGTGGAGGACGGCGGGGTGCGGGTGAAGGTGCTGATGACGAGGAAGGAGGCGGCGGCGTTCATGGCGAGGCTGGAGGAGCAGGCCGCCGCGGAGAGTGAATCCAGGACGGGGGCGATCGGCCGCGGCTTCGCGATGAGCCCGTGCGAGGTTGCGTGGAGGCCTCGTCTCGAAACCATACCGGAGACCTACTAGCTTCCGCTATCTCCGCCGGCCTCTTCACGCATGGTTTGACCACGTCGGGCGTTTTTTTTTTTGTACCTAGTGACGTACTAGCTCGTAGCTGTACAATTTCGGGATACTAGCACTAGATATTCAGATGCTCGATCGCAACTTTCAGATCATGTACGTGGTTGCTCCTCCTGTTTTCTGTATGACTGGCTAAGCACCTTTTCTTTTAGGAAATTGACAGCAAAGCATAAATTTGTTTCTCCGAGAAAGGGTTTCCCCCCGCTTTGTATTACAAAGCAACCATCACGATACAGCCAACGATAGGTCCTGGGGCGGAAGCAGCACAGTCATGCCCAAAAGAAACGGAAGAGAAAACAAAAAAGAAACAAATGTCAAGAACAGCGGATCAATGAAAAACGAAGAAGCCTCGCGACCGGTGCGCCCACCGGAGAACTCCCGCCAAGCTCCACGACTCGGGAATGCCGGCACCAAGCAACACCTTCAAGAAGGGAAGCGACGACGACGCTGCTGCTGCGAAGGGTTTCCGCCAGTACACGGTGAGGGGATAGAAAGGGTCGCCCCGACGCCCTTCAGGAAGGACTGACGACACCCGCAGGCGCCGCCACGCCGGTGTCAGCCAAGCCGATAGGGATTTCTCCCGATCCCAACCCATCCCTCAGGCGCTCTGCAGCGCGCCACCAAACCGACCACCACCCTGCGCCAACACAGACTTGAAGTTTCCATGCCGTCTCATCACGACACCACGAAGTAGGGTCTGCACAACGATGAGGAGGAGCCGGGACTAGGGCAGCAGCACCGTCGGTACGCGGGAGGGCTCAACCTCCACCATCAACGACGGTAACCGACCGGACGCAATAGCAGGGGCAAACCAGACCCGTGGGCACACAGGTCCGACCGGGCGCTCAAATGCCCGTAAAGCCCCTGCCTACGTGCTGCAGAAGACGTGCCAACGTCGCCGCCGCCCGCCATCCGAGCCGCTCCACCTCATAACCGCGCAGAGAGCAGCGAGGCAACACCAAGACCGGCCCGCTAGGACCCAGATGGGGCCCATACGGCCTAGATCTGGGCCGGGTTCGCGCCGCCGGCCGACCTGCGCCATCCCGTTGCCCCGCCGCCAAAGGGCGTCGCCCCCACCACCACCGCGGCCGCCGGTTGCTATTGACCACTTGCCTGAAATTAGAATCGGGGTTGGTCGATTTTGTTGAAGAAGAGGGCGAGGTAGTGAGTCAGTCGCGGCGTCTCTGTCGAGGGCAAGGCAGGACCGAGTCAGAGATAGGGACAATGTGGCTAACCATGGTGACGCCGGTGGAGACGGGAAAGAGGATTGACGAGTGCAGATGCAGTGGGTGGTTACCGGCACCAGAGAGATGGGGAGGAGCCGAGGAGGGATGTGTGGAGAAATGGTTGGGGTGGCAGCGGCGACTTGGGTAGGACGGATGCGAGTGAGCGACGTGGTTCGCGAGTAACAGTCCACAACGGTTCGGCGGGTGGCAGAGGACGGGTCTATGGTGCACTACCAATGACAGGAAGACGCCGGAAAATCGGTTGTTCCTTCTTTCATAATAAATTGACTTATCCAAATTACAAATTCAGTACACGGGTGATTATGGGTACGTTTGGTTTACCACCAACGCTAGCCTTACCAAAAAATTGGCTCGCCCAGCCCGCCCGCGTGTTATTCTCGCCAATTCGTGGGCGCGGTGAGGGCGTGGAAAACGCTCGCCAAATAATTGGCAGCCTGCTCTGGCCCGCTCTTTACGTGGGTGTCGTTTCGTTTTCTCTTTTATACGGTGGTCTCGTTCAGTGCTTTTACGGAGGTCTTGCCAAATTATACGGCAGATTAATCGCGTGGGTAGCTGCCTGATGACGGAACAGTTTTTCTTAAGGCAACCGAACAGCTGTTTTGGATGGATTTTTCATTGACGGGTAGTTTTGATGGATCAGTCCTGTGTGCTCCAGCCTAATATACGTTTTACTACTGGACTTCCTTCGATCAGGGAACTTTTACTATTGGACAAATGTTCTCAAAACCACTACTAATACTCTTCTCTCGCCTGTTTATTTTTTAGCATATTATATTTATTTATTTTTTGTATTACAAAAAACTTATTTTTAATATCTCTTTTTCTTTGTTGGCTCTAGGTACATCCAAATTAAAATCAGATCAACCACTAATCAATCCAAGTTACTCGTACAAAAGATTTGGCAACTCAGCTAGTGGCAAACCAAATGAAGTCTTAGTAATTTTACCAAAATCTTGGCAAGTACATTGGCTACAATCCAAACAATGATAACTTATCAAAAATTTGGTCATGCCCTCACTTTGGTCATGCCAATTTTTTGGCTGGGCTAGTTGGGGCACAAACCAAACACACCCTATAAGCCAGCCGCCTGTATTTTTTCGTACACCCTCCGTCGGGGTTTATGCACCTCCGGGACGGAGGGAGTATGCACCTCCCAAGCGGACTGTTGCTTTTCAGGCACAAAACAAAATGAACTGTTACTCCGTGCTAGTTACCTCGATGGAAAATGCAGGCATTTTTACCATGTCAGTTTTTTGTGTCACGTACGTAGGTGTACAACAGGGACTCCGGAGACCGAGACCGTGACATATGCCGGCAACTTGAGTCCGACCTCTCCTGGCTACATATCCTTGGTTGTTGTCTTCTTCTGCCACCGCAACTGTCAAACCAGCCCGGTGACAATTCAAAAGGAAAAATATCGCCGTGTTGCCGACCCGTTCCAAGCTAGCATAGCTAAGCTAGAGAGACTGGTTTTTCTACCATGCACGAGAGATACCGTGCATTGCATCATCATTAACTCAATTATAAGCACACGGGCTCCACCCTATCCCTTAATAAAGATTCTTTCTCTCTTCTCAATCCATTCATGGATTTTAAGCTATCTCTAATTTGACACTGTTATAGTTTTTAAACATAAAATTTGATTCTTCTTACATATTTGTGTTCTTGGCAACGAGATCTTTTCAACAAGACTAACCATGAATATTATTTGAACATTTTTGAAACATGGATTTTAAAACCTCATGAAACTACAAAAACTATGATTGTTAGACCTTTTTTTGTCAATTCACACAAGTTATTTTCCGTTGTTATTAATAAACTTACTAATGTGCGCAAGAGCAGAACCTTATTATATATCCACGCGAAAACCATCATGAAATTTTCCATACATGCATGTTTCATTGTGTTTCGTAAACTCAAATTTTCAAAACATATTACATATTGAACTTGTTTCGAAGATATCATCGAAAGAAAAACGCATGTTCATACAGACTATTTACCCTGTATTTATTTTAAAATATGTGGTTGTTTAAAGTTTAGATTCAAAATAAAATCCAGTACTAGTGTGCAGGAGAGAGAACTAGTTGGTGCAGCCTTGCTCCATAAAGTTGTCAGATGGATTTACATATAAGAATGAGTATATGGTATGAATGCATCTCTAACCATATGGACGGTTTAGCCATGCACTGAATATCCCGTACATGGTAGAATCACTTTTCTGCTAAGCTAGACGCGCATAAGCAAAATGTTCTCCATCCATGACATGACAGGTTCAGACTTGTCATGGCCTACATATGGCCACTTAACTACTTTCTCAAAATTGAACTGCTAAAACGACATTTATTATGGTACGGAGAGAGTATAACGAAACGCCAACAAATCAGTGACTCAATGACCAATTCAAATCCATATAATTTAGTTACACATACATGAATGACTCTGTTAATGTTGCCTAGATGTAGCATCATTAACGATACAGTCGACATGTAGGGAATACTAGTCACTAGTCAGTCCCCACGCATCGCGCTACATGACTTCAGAGACGAAGCGACACAAATACAGCGTCCGTTTGCGTGGAAATTCCTTGCCTGATTCGTTTGTATCTGCGAGCATATTTCCATCCACACCAATGATTTCTCCGAGTGGTACATATTTTTCTACTATCATAATTTAGGACTGGAGGAATTCCATGGCAATGATTTTCTTGATTAGTTACACGGTTAAATCTTTGCACGTATTGTTGGGGAACATAGTAGAAATTCAAAATTTTCCTATGTGTCACCAAGATCTATCTATGGAGAAACTAGCAACGAGGGAAGGAGAGTGCATCTACATACCCTTGTAGATCGCTAAGCGGAAGCGTTCATGAGAACGGGGTTGAAGGAGTCGTACTCGTCGTGATCCAAATCACCGGAGATCCTAGTGCCGAACGGACGGCACCTCCGTGTTCAACACACGTACAGCCCGGTAACGTCTCCCACGCCTTGATCCAGCAAGGAGAGAGGGAGAGGTTGAGAAAGACTCCATCCAGCAGCAGCACAACGGCGTGGTGGTGGTGGAGGAGCGTGGCTATCCTGCAGGGCTTCGCCAAGCACCACAGGAAAAGAGGAGGAGGAAGAAGAGATGCAGGGCTGCACCAACGAGAGGAGAAGTTCTCATGTGTGTTGGGCTGCCCCTAGACCTCATGTATTTATAGGGGGAAGGGAGGGCTGCGCCCCCTCTAGGGTTTCCACCCCCTAGGGGTGGCGGCCAGCCCTAGATGGGAACCAAAGGGGCGGCCAAGAGGGGAGAGAGGGGGAGGAGCCCACTAGGTGGGCCTTAAGGCCCATCTGGACTAGGGTTTGCCCCCTCCCACTCTTCCTTGCGCCTTGGGCCCCTTGCGGGGGGCGCACCAGCCCTCCTAGGGGCTGGTCCCCTCCCACACTTGGCCCACGCAGCCTTATGGGGCAGGTGGCCCCACTTTGTGGACCCCCGGGACCCTCCCAGTGGTCCCGGTACATTACCGATATCGCCCGAAACTTTTCCGGTGACCAAAACAGGACTTCCCATATATAAGTCTTTACCTCCGGACCATTCCGGAACTCCTCGTGACGTCCGGGATCTCATCCGGGACTCCGAACAACATTCGGTAACCACATACAAACTTCCTTTATAACCCTAGCGTCATCGAACCTTAAGTGTGTAGACCCTACGGGTTCG